TTAAAAATTAATGCAAGTAATAAGTGCTGCAATTTTTGAAAAGAAGAGCCATTAATCTTCCAACAATATTTTAATGTAAGGTTAATTTGTAAGGTTGCTGAAATATTGACATAAAATTCCATTAATGTTTCAACAACATTTATAATGTAAGGTTACATTATAAGGTTAGTGGTAAATACCAATAATCTTCTCACTAAGCTATGTAAGATTGTAACCTCCTTGTAACCTTAGTGCAATATCCGGTGCTGTGAGGGTTATGAATATAATTAACTTTCGTATCATGTATATGTATTATGGACTTGTTTTATATTTTATCAAACGCTGGAACCTCCTTAAATCAACATTTTTTTCTATATCAACAAATTTTAATAAAATATTTTAATACGTGCAATCTGTTTTGTTTATGATTCTTACTAGCAACAACAAAATAACTGTAATGTAAGTGCAATGTAACATGTTACGTGACAAATTTTACTTTTATGTTATATATATGTGATTTAAACTTCTATTTGAAACACAAATACATAAAAATAATATTGCTATAATATTAAAACAGAGAGTAACAAATACTGAATTTATGATATATAAATTTTAATATTTTTAATGTCTGCTATAAATCGCTTTAATATAAATTGCTTGTGGTTGATTAGTGACAGAATTTAGAAGTTCTTGCATAGAAAGAAAGGAGTACGTATAATTGGAAATATATATATTAGTGGGAAAAGAGAATTTGATAATTAGTGCAAACTAGTGTAGAAAGTGCAGTGCAAAAGAACAATTAACCTATATATGATCATATTCGTTTGTGACTAAGACTTATGACTCGCGAGAAAGCGACCAACAAATACATTTCCAAGGTAATTCTTATTCAAGAAATAATCTTTTCATATTAGATAAATATCACTTGCCAAGTATTTTTAAAACTCTTATTGTATAATATTTATACTTTATTTCGATATATTTCTTATGTATATGAGTTAAGTATTGTAATTTTTGCTTACAAGTTTGATATGTTAGGTTAGGTTAAAGTGAAAGCCGCATTACGAATGCAAGGTTTCATTTAAGATAAACGTTAAAAAGATCAAATTTTTTATTTTAAGACAAATTCAGACTCAAATTGTATATCCGTGTATCGTATTCGTTTTTCGAATTAAATATACTCTTTTGACATTATAAAATATGATATGCTTTATAGCTTCCGGCTGTACAACTTTATACAGCTAAAAATAAACGACACAATTAAAGTCGATCTGTATCTATTTTTAAATAAAATATTAGATTTTGTTAGCATTGATAATTAAACGCTTTACATTTGTTATGCAACTTTCACTAACCTAATATATTGAACTTGTAGGCAGAAATTACGATACATGTACCTGATATATATAGCATAATATTATAGAAATTATGTAATACAAAAATATTTTCTATAATTGTATATTAAATTTTGAAAGATAACGCATATGAAAATTCTATTATATACAGGGTGTCTATAAAGTCCAATATCTTGAAAATGGTTTTAAATATAGAAAAATATTTCAGACAAAAGTTGTAGGATATTAAGGGAGACATATGATAAAAATATAAATATCATTATTAGGCACTCAATCATTTAAAGTATTTATATGTTATTATATTTAACTTTGATAATTTGATGTACAGTAGCTTTTAATATGCACTAATCTAGAGTGTAATGCAAATGTTCCAATTTATTATAAATCTAATTATATCGTGTAATTAATTTTTATTTCTGAAGTTATTTTTAAATATAGATATAAATATAGCTGTTTAAAGAAACTTTTTATAAACATAAATTTATAAAAAAATTACTTTAAAATGACTACTATTGATACACGAAATAACTCATCGGCTCGGAAACTAGTGACAGGGATCGCAAGCAGGTTCGGGAAAGAGAGCAGGAGTAAATAATCGAACATCAATTTATACAAATAATATAAAGCATCTATTTCCGAAAAGAAAAGAAAATAAATATACGTCGCGAGATACACGATACCCCATTAACGGACGATTCCGGTATGCGAGTTACAAAGCCCGATAACGACAGGCCGTAGATAACA